TAACATAAGAGCTAGCTATGACAAAAATACAACCTAATTTCTCAAGCATAGGCCAACAAATAAGTGAATGAGTTTTGGACACCTATAAAATATACTATAAATACATTCACGAAAAGTCAGAAACATTGTATTGGCATGAGCCGCTCGTGTCCCTATGTACATCTATGCGTAAAACAGAAAGAAACCAATGAAAAAAGGGGGAAATTGCGATAGCGGTCCCTAACCTTTTTATTTTTTTGCAGACTTTACCATAACATTCATTTTGTGTCAGCGGAGGTTCCTAACCTTTTATAAATATGCACTTGAGGTCCATTTGGACAAAAATCGTCCAAAACACCGTCAGTTGACTGAAAAAGTTAAGGAATCAACATCTAATAAAACCATCTAAAATATCGTCCAAAAAGGTATCAACGTCCAATAAAATCGTCGCGGTAGCAGACAGTTCAAAGAATTTTCTCGATCAACTGACAGTGTTTTGGATGTTTCCATTCAGATGGATTTCGGGTGCATATTTATGAAAGGTTAGGGACCTTCATTGGCATAAAATGAAGGTTAGGATATAAAGTTTGCAAAAAATAAAAAGATTAAAGACCGTTGCTACAATTTTCCCAAAAAATAATTACATGAACACTGATGAATTGAGACTCAATTATGGTAAAAGTTCTTAACAATTTTCTTTCACTTTTTTGATAAGTAAAAGCGGCATTAGAAGAAACTGCACGTCCAATCTGCATCTATCTGTGTACCAGTAAAAAGTAATAAATTTTGGGAAATACTATATGTACATAATTATCTACATAATGGTGTTCATAATTACACGTGGTACTGGATCCAACATTTAATTTAAATCTCACACTTGCACATCAACAACTAGATGATTGCCACATCACATTATGGACACCATTATGTGCAATAATTATGTACAAATAGAATTTTCTATAAATTTTTCACCAAATGAATCAAATTGTTGAGCGCTAATAATATATCCAGGAAATTGGTACACAACTTACTATGAAGCTGTTTGGTAGCCATTATATTCCCCCCATTAATTCATTTTTGGACCGTTTGGAGTCCATCTCTGACAAGGCATTAAATGGTGTGCAGGCACCTACCATTCTCGTTTCCTCCAATTGCCTCGGATCTGCACATAGGTGGAAATTGTGGAATAAAAAACCCAAGGACAAAGAGGGCAAAGATAGGAATTTGCACATTTTGAATTAAATTTGGAGAATAAAATATGACATGGACCCCACATTGATTTGATAGGAAAAATGTATTTTGTCAATTAATGACTACCAAACGGGGGCTATGAAAGACAACCTAGAGTGAAGTAGATATTGGACTTCAAACATAGAAAACTAAAATTTCAGTCAGATCTTGAAGGTTTAAAATACTTACGTGTCGTCTTCCCGCTGCCTGCTTCACCAACAATTACTAGTGTGTCACTATTCCTTACCTCCTCCAAAAGTACTTTTTCAACTAGAAATATGTAAATTTTTAAATAACAGAGGAGTCAGCATGGAAATCACAAAGTGAAAACAGTATCAAAATGAAATGACGGGCGTAGAAAAATTGAAAATCCTATAGTTCTATATTTGTATAATTGTCAAGTCAAATTAAATTTCAAAATAAAAAACACAATGCTTCTGAACAACCTTTTAGATGCTTAAACAAGAAAACCCAACGCGATAACAATTAACTCAACAAAGTCGAATTGCAACTTTGTTAGATGGATGTTCAAATAATGCACGTCAACCTACAGTGGCACTCTTCTAAAAAAACAATATAACAAATATATAAAACGAAATATACATGTAAATAAAAATTAGAAAGAAACTTTCCAGAACTGTCTTTTCATAAATAAAAATAAGAAATATAATGCTTAAACCTTGACAGGTGCAGATTTGATGAGGATAAAACTATTTACATCTAGGAAAGATCAAAGATCCCCAAGCTGCCTTTTTCTTTTACTATAAGAGAAGGGACATTCTGGATTCTATGCCTCCAAAATCATTCAAAGCTGCCTTCTATTATCCAAACATGTATCTCGTAATTCTTAACATTGACTCTACAAGCTTCCATAGCCACCAATCTCCATGCGTCTAGCGCGACCTGTTCTAATCTGAAATTTTGTAAAAGTGAGTATTTTAAACAAATACTAAGTAAGATACGTGCAAATTTGTATTTAACATAACATAAATATAAATAAAACATTCATACCCAACGTTCATAAATTCAAAACCCACTTATCATGATAGTAGATGGTTCAAGAAATTTCTTTAGAATTTCCACATCCTGAAGAATTTGACATAATTGGACCTGATGGTCTATTCCGGAGGATTTAACATAAAAATCATTCTTGGAGTCTTAAGGCATTGAATGAAACCATAATATAGATATCATGGAGAATAAAAATTTAACCACTGCACTTATGTATCTTTCCTTAAAAATCTGAATTTGCTAGGAACTTGAAAAAGAATTTTCCTGTTTGCCTTGACTTGAAAAATAGCAAAATATATAGAATTGATAACTTTGTGCTGTGTGTTTAAGTATTATATAAATGTGATCGGTGAGTGAGTAAAAGAAAATGACCAAGCATTTGAGAAAAATCATAACATGTTCTCATAACTTATACGCATACACACTACTAATAAATATCAAAATAAACAAACGATAAAATTGGTTATTTTTAACACATGCGAAATTCCACACATTTGCCAACCAATCAATGCAAATGAAAAAATAGTTAATATCCTATTAAATGATTAATAATTTTCGTTTCAACCACAATTTAATTAATATTATATTAAATGATTACATAAATTTAGTTAATTAATGGACTTTATCGTAATGACATGACTAGGCATGAACCAATTAATTTGCTAAGGGAAAATTGCATCAGAAACTCCAAACATTTGAAACACTAGCAGATTTTTTCCAAAGCTTTAATTTATTGCAGCTGTCACCTCTAAACTTTTTAAACGTTGCATGTGAGGCCCTTTTGAACGGTTTCATCCAAATTTCCGTCATTTGACCAAAAAAATTATTTTGACCACCTTGTAACAATTTTTAGAGGGGCAAAATGGTAACTTTGCATTAAAATCAAAAAATAAAAGTGGTATTCTTCTTCCCCAACCCACCCACCCCTCACCCACACCTAAAACATCTCCTACCCCACGCCACCCAAAACTACCCCCAACGCTAAAGCAAAATCCCACCCACCCAACGCCAACCACCCATAACCCACCCCAACGCTAAACCAAAATCCCATTCACCCAGCGCCGACCATCATCTGCCTATCTTATCCGCACCTAGAACCACCGCCACCGCTGCAATTAAACACATTAAATTAGCTGAAAGATTCGAATAAATCGAAATGATTTTCCGATATTAAACCCACATTTTCACCATATTCCAATGATTTTTGGACTGGTGATTCTCGTTAACTTGCTGAATCATAACCAAATTCCGATCCAACACTAGTTGTACTTCTTGGAAATTTTCAGTGAAGGCTGTAGAAGAGGCAATCAAATTGGTTAAAGTCTAATATGTATGAAGAATGTGGCAGTAAAAACTGCCCAATTGGAACCTTCAAACCAAAAAAAGAAAAAAAGAAAAGAAAAATGATAGAACAACCCACCTACTACCATCTTTTTAAGGGATTGTGATGGGGGTGGATGATGGTGGTAGGATTGTGAATATTTGAAAAAAGCAAGCACAATTTTCAAATGTTGTTTTAACCAGAGGAGGGTCTGATGCATCAAGGAAGGGATGAGGGATATTTTGTTGAGTTGAAAGGACGACTCCATGTGGTGAAAAGTGTTGTGGTGGTGGATTAAGATTTGGGAGAGTGAGTCGGCTTTCGGTGAAGGTTCGATTGGTAAGAGTGTGGGCTTTGTAATTGATTGGGAATTGAGTTCCTTGATCTTGAGCTTCCGTCTGTTTGAAGTCCAAGAATGTGGAGAAGAGTTCCAATCGGGAAGCAGAGAATTCGGTGCAGTCTGTACTGGGCGGTAGCAAGTGGTTGTGAAGGTGGAGGTGGCGATGGTCCGGTGGATTTTTGGTTTGAGTTGGGGATGGGTTGGGGAAAAAGAAGACCACTTTTATTTTTTGATTTTTGATTTTAATGCAAAGTTATCATTTTGCCTCTCTAAAAATTGTTAAAATGTGGTCAAAATAATTTTTTTAATCAACTGACAGAATTTTGGATGAAAATCGTCCAAAATGACTCACATGCAACGTTTGAAAAGGTTAGGGGTGACAGCTACAACAAATCAAAGGTTTGAAAAAATCTGCTAGTGTTTCAAAGGTTTGGAACTTCTGCTGTAATTTTCCCATTTGCTAATGATCAAAGTTAAATTAACAAAATTTAAACCTTACATAAGTAAATAAATTTCGGGATGCTACACTAGTGACGAGTAATGTGACTATTGGTAAAATATCAATAATGAGGGATGACTCTTGTTGATGGGTGAAATTTGCTTCTACCGAACATTTTTTTTTCTACGAATAAATCAACAAGTATAAGGAGAAGTGCCAATTTCGACTTCTAACTACATAGGTCTTTCCATTTTCAAATCAAAAAACTATCTTAAAATGTTGTATATCATGTGAATAAGTAGATTATTGTATTTCTTGTACGAATTAAATAACTTATACCAGTTTAAAAGATCTCAAATTATTTATAATTGTGTCTCAAATAATGGTAATATTACTCTAAAGAACGGGCATGACGTCCTTGTTTACCTCAACCCCCCCCCCCCCCCGGCCCCCCCCCCCCCCGGCGGCC